TGGCGGAAGGGTGGGATGTCATGGCTGCTGATTGAAGTTGCGTGTATCGAGGTTCGCGAGTAAAAAAAGTCGCCGGGCTTGGCGCGTCATGATCGGCGGCCCCATGTTGATCTCATTTACTGCTCCTTTACTATTCTTCGTACAAATTCTAATAGTAATCAATTTCTGCCATATTAACTCAATGTTCTATAGCGTCACACTCTATAATATCTTTAATTTTGTAAAGGTTATGTAGAGGTCCATTCTTGCAAATTAAGCCTTTTTTGGCCCTTTTCTACTATCTGTCTAATAAACTAAGAAGAGGGAGAAAATATGTATATAACTAGATATCTAAAAAGACTACCTAAGGAGACTACAAAAAGAGACCACTAAAAAGACATATAAAAAGACTATCGGAGAAGACTACCTAAGAAGACCACTAGACTACGGCCGTATATGCGGCCGAGTATTCTTGTCTATAATATCTCAACTTCTACAATATCAATTTCTATAGTCAATAAAATACACATATACGAAATGTTCTGCTGGCAAAATACGATATGGCGCACTGGCGGCTATACACTGCCGTACTATTATCTTCGTTCTTGAATATGTTTCTTCCAATGACGTCTTTGATACATTGTTCTCGCTGTCAAGACATCTCCTGTAAGTGAACGAACAGTTCGCATAAATCGCAATTGGGATACGCCCTCACATTACCACGGCAACATGGTCTGTCATATACTTCTGGATGTCGCCCAAGAAACAGGCGGCCACAATGGAGACACCACCGAATGCAATACTGACATAGTATACCCATTTATACCCTTCGGCATATGCAATCTGACCAGCCCCTACGACCATTTGATATGCAGTCTCATTACCAGCAATACCAGGGATTGTGCGCAGCTCACTCAGCAACGAGGCACCTGTCAGCTCAATTGCTTCACCAATCAGTTCGACGTCGGTGATGTTGAGTTCTTTCATCATCACACCACCGATATAATGTGTTGCTGCCGGGACAAACTTAGAGATGAAGACATTGTAGTAAATGGTGTAGCCGATGCCACCGCCGACCACGCGAATAGAGAGGGTGAGCGCAGAAATAGTGGCAATCAGATCCTAGCAAAAGCCAATGTCAGTAGGCAAACTTCCCCCCTTCCAGCAAGACAACTCACGTCCGGGCAAATGATTGTGGTAATAATCGAGGCCGGCACCACAATCCCTCCAATTCCAAGGCCCGCAAGGATGAGAATTCCCCAGAGCTGATACATATTATCGGTGCGGCCGATAGCCATAGCACCGCATCCTGTTTTGAGAAAAACAACTTAGCTTTTTGGGAACTCTCTACCCATCAACAAAACTCACCTGCAGTCATCAGCACGCTACTAACGATCAAGAGCTCCTTGTTATGCCCCCGGAGCACACTTAGCAGCGCAAGCACAATACATGCTCCTGCCATGATCCCAAAACCAATGGGGATACTGCGGACACCCACATCCACTGGGTCATGACCGTAGACATTGAACGATTCTGTAGGCCAGAACATAAGCACGGAGAAGAAGTTGGCACCAGAGATGAAAGTAATGACGAGGGTAAGTCCTAGAATCCGAGGCTCTTGCTTGAGGCGAGATGGAAAAATTGGGTATTTAGCTCCATAGATTTCCCAGAAAGCAAAAGCAACGAGCAGAAGGAACCCGATGACCAATGGTGCCAGGACATGAGCAGATGTCCATGGATACTAAATTAAGATGTCAGTAAGATATAGCCCTACACAAAATGTCTTCAAGCATACCATATATCCACCCCATTGCAAACCGGCCAAGAAGACAATGAGACCAGTGATGCTGAGAAATCCACCAACAAAGTCGACTCGTCCAATTATCTCCTTCCGGCTCAAACCAGCTGAGTTGACTCGTGGCGGAGGGAAGTAGAACAAAATCGTGATCAGTAGACCAAAAGCGCTCCACGCGGCACAGAACGCACCGACATAGCGCCAATGGCTGTGATATGCGATAAGCTGAGCCCATAACACGGACGGGCAAAATGGTAGGATGGTGAATATAAGGATCGACACATAGACTCCTCTCTTTCGAGTAGGCGCCATCTCGGAAGTTGCAGCCAGTGCTGTCAGTTCATTGACACCGGCACCGGCACCAGCGATGGCCATTCCCGCTGTATCCATGTCAGTGAATGTCTATATACTTTGATATCTAGACAATACAAACCGATGAAGTTGTTCATTGTGTGCACTGTGCTGCAGATGATCATTCCAATAACTATCAGAGATGCTCCAATAATAGCGACTGGGCGGCGTCCGAGTAGATCTGATAGAGATCCAACGAAAGGGCATACACCGGCAAGGCCGAGCAAGTTTGCAAGAACCTAAGCAGAAGCTCGTTAGTCGCTAACCTTATACTTCAATGTGTATACACTCACAAACCACACCCATCGGTCTGCTCCACCAATCTCTCCATAAATGTAGGGAGGGATACCGCCTAATGAGAAGGTATCAAAATTTATATCATAGCTTCCATGTTCCTTTTGACATACCAAACAGGTATACTGGGATCTGACTCCCAGTCCACAAGAAAGCCATGGCAGTAAATCCCATGAAGCGACGGAAGGTCATCTTCCTGATGGTCAGTATTGTTGCAGTCACAAGTTGAACAGCCCAATCCTACCGGGATATCCTTCTCAGACTCATGCATACCTTCCTCCGAGCCCGGTCTAGTTATTTCCTGGTGATCATGCTGTGAAGTGTCAATGTTCTCGTGATGTTGCATAACAGCCTTCTCGTCAACAGGCTGACTTGATTGAAGGATTGGTTCCGCCATGATGAGCGTGAGTCAAGGGCAGCACAATTGTAAACAAACGGGGGTTTAACTTTGGCCCCAACTCGAACCAAATTGGATGTAATTCGAATTCGACTGAAATGTGGACGATATTAAAGTAAGTCCAGAGTCTCGAAGAAGGATGAGAGGATATAAATCCATTTGAGTTCAGTGGACCAGTCACGTATGTCATGTTGGAAATGTCCTCGGGGATGTAATGAATCAGAGTGGGGAAATGAAAACAAGCTAATGAGCCATGAATTAGATAGCCGGGACAGTAATGCTTGAAATCCAGAAAATACCGAGGCAGCTTGGCAATTCCCTCATACATAAAGGTGATCTTGGTCAAAGACGCTAGGGAAATGCGGGGGAGAAAACGTGGAGGTGGAGGCATCCAGTTGGTTCATCCATGGATGAGTGAGTCCTCCGGAGGCCCATGCCAGAATGGGGATCAGCCCCGAAATCAAAAACAAGACACCTGGAGGGTTTCAAAGGCTGTACATAGAAAATTCCCTTTCGTAAATCAAGCCTCCTACCGTCCTTTTCTGCTGCCTACCCAACAAACTGAGAATGGGGGAGAAAATATCTATACAGACTAGATATCTAAAAAAGACTACCTGGGAAGACTATCAAGAAGATTCCGGCCGCATAAGCGGCGCACTATTCTTTCAAGTGAGTATTGAATGGATAGCCTTGCTGAATGTACAAGAGACATTGTATCTTTAAGAAGTCATTAGATAGCGCATATTTGTACAGAAATAGTTCATATAAGAGATCTGGTCTTCCCTTGCTAGTTTCGTGCCTTTCAGCTGACTCCGTCCAAGAGGGCGGGGAGGCCGGTGCTGGGTGTATTAGAACCTTGGCCAAAGCTTCGAAGAAGCCACACGGTCGAAGAAAGCCGCGTATTCGTAGAATTCAAGCCATCAGGATAGCAGTCAAGTGGGATATTTCCGCAGTTCAGAAATATTCCCCGACCTTGCTCAGCTTGAGGGTCTTGGGAACAACAAAAAGACCTGTCGCTTCAACACATAGTCGGCCTGCCATGTCGCGGACCTCACACTTGGCGTATGCCTTGGTGTCCGTGCTCCGTTCCTGATCTAAGGTTGTATGCAGGGTATAGAAATTGTCCGAGTGGACCGGCGCCCGGTAGTTGAGCTCGAGGTTCGCAGTGACACCTGTCCGCGCGGGGAAATGCCGAATGGCTGCGCGCCCCAGGTTCTCATCGATTACAGTGCCTAGCGCGCCCCCGTGGACCATGGTTGGCCAGCCTTCGAGGCCTGGTCCCAAGAAGACCACGCTAATGAGTCTCTTCTCTTTGTCGTTCCAGAAAACTTTCTGTCAAATATGAGAATAGTTAGACAAAGCGGGATCCCAAGGTTCGGCAGTCAAAAGGTTCGGCATTCATGAGATGGATATGCCTCGGACCCCAATGAGAAAACGAGAGACCAACCTGTAATCCCAAGCCCCTACTGCCAGCCAAGGGGCCTGATGTCAGCCGATGGGTTTTGTGCTTATCCGAAAAGTTTTCGTAGACATCCTTTTCCACGTAATCGGGGTTACGACGCAGCTCCTGCACAATGGGGAGTCCAATATCGAACACCCGCTGGATTTCCTGAATCTCCATTTGGTCTTCCAACGACCCAGGGGCCGCTGGAGCTGCAATTTTGTTGTCCAGCCATTTTCCTGCACCGACGCCGAGTGTTCCAAAGATGCCAGCATAGATCAGGCGGCGCGTCCAACGTGATGGTTCTCGTGAGGCATTTGGTTGTGCCGCGGTGCTGACGTTTCGGACCACTGGCCGCCAAGAACTTGGTGTCTGTATCGATGACTGGCGAAGGGCCGACTGGAGGATGCTGCGATAATGTATCATGGTGGTCACATTGCCAATCCTTTAGAATTAAAATGCTAATTTAATCGGAGCTTGGACAATTCGGGCCGAGGCTCAATAAGGTCACGTGTATATGCTATTAGTCACTTATCTTTAGGTCCACTGGAGGTGCCCGGGTGGAAGAGATCTAAAGATCCATGAGGACTACAGAATGTGGATCGTTGCAAGGTATAAGATAATCAATTGGTAACAGTTAAGACGTTTGAGACGAGCATCATTCATGTTCATCGTTTCTATTCATCTAGAGGCAACATTTGCAGATTTCTTTCAAATGTGAACCGATGGTAAGGCAAATCCATTTACTCGGATTTGGGCAGCTCAATCGCGCGGTAGAGGCAAATGAGGGCAGAATGTGACTCCCCTAGATATATTATTAGCAATGGCCTTGGATTGTAGGATGTGGTTCACATACCACCACCCGAAAGGGTCTCGATCTTCTGTGCCTCAACCTCAGTCACTGTATCGTCGTTGAACCACCACCACTTGTCGTCCGTCTCGCGGCGCTTGTTACCTGTCTGAGGCTCATCCCGCTCCTGTTTCTTGACATATGCCGTGTAGTGACCGCTGTCGGCGCTAGCTCCCTGATGGGTAATGACGGCGCGAAGCTCATACAGACCAGACTGGTTGGTTCCGCTGTCTCCAGCGCCCCGTTGATTGACAAGCTCTTGGAGCTCTCTCTTCGCAACGCGGATAGATTCCGCTTTTTCTGCTTCGTACTCGGCATCAGTTTTGAAAGTTTCCTCCATTTGGCTGTCGCCTTCCTTGTCGTTGACTTTAGACTTGTTCTCCTCAGCGGCCTTCTTCTTCTGCATTGGCTCCCCGCTGTCGCCCAAGTTGGTCTCTTTCGCCTGTCGCTGCGCACGCTCTTCGGCAACTCTTTGGCGTTTCTGAGAACGTTCGACTTCCAGCTCCTCCTTGCGGATCTCGCGAACCTTGTCACGAATAGGGATGAGCTGCTTTCGGAGGTCGTCGGTGCAGAACTCCACAACATCCAACTCGGCAGGGAATGTCACTTTGCGCATGATCTTAGCCTTCTTCTGTGTCTCGCGCTTCCAGTAAAATCGGACAAAGTGGACTGTGAGGTACTTGGGCAATCGTGCGATGCGAGAACGCTTTTTGTACACAGAATTGCGCTCCAAAAGAGGAGAGTTTTTCTCGATTTCCTCTTCGAGACCGGCCAAAATTCCATCCTGTAGGTGGTTCGTTTCTTTTCCGATATGACAATCAAGCTTATAGAAAACACCAGAGCTTTGACTCGGTTGCTCGCCGAGTTCCTTAGCGGCGGGATCCTCACACTGGGTGACAGATTCGAATTGGCCCGCGAGATATTTATCCACGAATGAGGTCGTAGTGGCAGACTCTCCCTCGCCCTCGGTGATGGTCAACTTAGTCCGCAACTGGTTCAAGATCTGGGAGAAAGCCTCCTCGGCATCCTGCTGGGAGTATCCTTGTCCATTTCGGTCACGTTGGGCGAATTGAGGAAAGACGGCTCGGAGAGCATTGAGGAACATCAGAGGAGGAATGCCCTCCTGGGTCTCGGACATTTGCTTGAACAGATCTCGCAGAGAAGCGGCCAAATCCCGAGAACCTCCAAGGCCACCAATACCAAAGCTGCTGAGGTCTGACAGACTCGACTGTCCAGCTCCTCCACTTGGCCGATACCGCATGAGCTCTTCCTGAAGCTCCGGGACACTCCGCAAGGTTTGTAGGGAAGAGTTGAGGTAGCATGTGTTCCCCAGGTTCTGCAAACCGGCAGGGGTGGCACCCTCCTGTCGTGCCACCTCGGCCTCGGTCATGTCTTCCAGGAATTTGACGGCCTCCTTTGGCCGACCAAGGTCAGCAGAACCTTGACCTCCCGATGGGGTGCCCATCATCATGAACGTCTGCCCGGGTTTGGCATTAAGTGAGGAAAGAAGTGTATCATCTTTAAGCTGGCCACCTTTGACCAAAACCTTTTGGCGGTCGGGTTCCACACCAGTCAAGGAGAAGAGTTGGTACTTGAGTGTTTCGCCGTTCGACGTAGGATCGAGCTCGACTTCGTGGCGCTTGCCGGCATGTTTGACAATAACTGTGTACCGGTTAGTGGTGGTGCAGGGACTGCCAATACATCCATACATACTCGGTATAGCTGCCATTTTCAATAAATTGTAGGGATGGATGATGTGAAAAAGATAAAGAGCTTGAAAGAGCTTGCGATTGCTGGGGCAAATGGTAAACAGCGTGTGGGAGGAGGAAGCGTGGGGCTCACTCACCGCCCAACCACTATCGTCACCGCCCACCCCGACGTCAACTCCTCTTCTGCCTAGGACAACCTGTTATCCAGGGAACTGCCTTTCTCATTCACTGCTTTGGGTCGAAAGGTCCTCACCAAGGGCTAATTTCAATTTCTTCTCAACCAGCTCTGGGCCGTCTTATCCTCCGTGACGATTGCATCCTTCGTGGCCTCGACAAACGCCCCTCACCATGGTGGGTACAGCTCCAATCAGCCAGCCCGTTCTATACTAATTGATTATCAGAGTCAATCTCTCCGGCCCTACCTCCAGGCGTGTGTTTCGACCTTTGACAAGTATTCAGCGGCAAGCTTGCTTACACTTACTTTACTAGTGTTCGGTCCTCTCTGACCGCGGCTCTTACGATCTCCAACTTCGCTTCTCAGACATCCGAGCGGCAGTAAGTTGCCATGCTGCAAATGTTAGACATGAAAGATGCTAATATACTCGGTTCCACCAGCAACTGCCCAGAGGTTGAGGCAAATTCTTCGCCCGAGATCCTACTGAACCCGTACGTCTGGCCGTCATTTCTCCCAAGGTCGCATTGATCATACGTATTGATGGTTTTTCAGGTTGCACATCAGCAGGAATGAAAATGAAAAGGTGAAAATTGAGCCAAGCTACAATTCTGTACGCATAAGTATCAGAATCAAGCAGGCAGATGAGATCGAGCATATTCTTGTCCACAAATTCACTCGGTTCCTCACCCAGCGAGCGGAGTCCTTTTTCATTCTACGCCGGAAGCCAGTGGAGGGATATGACATCAGTTTCCTCATTACGAACTTCCACACGGAAAAAATGCTCACCCACAAGCTAATTGATTTCGTGATCGAATTCATGGAAGAGGTGGACAAGGAGATTTCGGAGATGAAGCTCTTCGTATGTGTATGGATGCATCGTTTTCGTCGCAAGTTACTAACAGCTCACTAGTTGAATGCCCGTGCTCGATTTGTTGCCGAGTCTTTCCTGACACCGGTATGTCTTTATTGAGTTGTCTACCATTGATTCAATTGCTGACGATCATTCAGTTCGATTAAAGTGCCCAGCGTTTTCTTATTGATTCCGAATAATGAATGGTCCTGTGTTTCCCACTTTCTACTCCTGTACAGATAGCCTAGGCTCATTGATTAAGAGAGAACCTTATACCGATTTCCGTCGATCGATGTTTTTCGTCCAGCTTGAATTCGTTTCTTCTTGTAGCACAGCAAACGCTTTCCACCGGCGTAATGCCTCACCGAGTACGCTAGCCTACTGTTGGCCTGGCAGTCCCCATCAAGACGGGAATTACCTCCATAACGCTATAATGTAACAAATGAAGAAGAAGGAACTACACCAGCGACCAAAGCTTCTCGACAACAGTGAGACAATACATATCTCCAAGAGCTCATGGCCCAGAGCAATCTAACAGGGCAAAGAGACACCATTGAGGGGACGCATTTTATACTAACAAAATCTATTATGTAGATCCAACTCTATTTACAATGACAATAATGTGTAATTTGAGCATAAAGTGAAGAATGTCCGTCTAAACAGGGAGTTGGGGAGATTAACTACGTATGTAGTTACTAACTTGGAAAGCTTATGTCTGATTGGGAGGAGTGCGTGGATAATAGATATTGTCTGGGTGGAGTGCGTGGAGAAAGGAGGGGTAGAGTATATGAGTGCGTGGTAGAGAAATGTTGGCACTGAAGCTGGGCGAAATGGAAATACTTCCGCGGAGGCTGTGGAATTTTAGTTAATGCGGAAGAAGTGCGTGGAGATAAAAAGTCGCCGCCGATATACGTGCGTCGCGCTAAAGACGTACCGCGGACAGGATACAAAAACATTCCTAGCCTCGAGGTTAAATGAATCACCACAATGACAGAGTTGAAGAGAACGAATTAAATACTACTTTAGTTCACTATTTTTAATTTAAAAATATTAAATATTTGGTATACCCTATGAATTTATTGAGAAGATTGAGGTCAAAATCCATGGTTTTATATTCTCAAGCAGTCATTCGACACCACCGAGGTATCTTCTTAACCCGACGACTCATCCCGCGCGACGTAGCTTAATTCCACGCCTATAAATAGCTGCTTCCCTATCCACACGCACTATCCCTCGAAAATATTTTTCTTTCCACGCACTATCTGTTTCATCTGATATCGGTTCCAGCCCTAAAAAATGAGCGAACGTTCCGGGCATATGCAGGAAATCGACGATTGGCCTGCCAGTATGGGCCTCCTGGCAGCTGATCTTGATCTATTGACTCTCAATGAAAATGCCCAACGAGACTCACAGACTGTGACTGCGCCTGTCACTGACACTCGCAAACACTCACCTTCTGGAATTGCGCCTCTCAGGAAATCATCATCTGATTCTACTTTAGGCTCGCAGGCTCCTACTCGAGTTTCTATTCAGATTCCTCCTACTCTAGTTCCTCCCCAGGTTGCTCCTCAAGTTTCTGCTCAGGTTTCTGCCCTCCCATCTCATCCTCCCATTTCTTCAACCCCATCCTCATTTATTTCTTCCCACCACCAAAGTTCGTCTTCTACTTCCACCATCCGTCCTTCTGCAAATCAACGTCTTCAGTTAGCATCTGGATACTATCCTGGATCTTTTGAGTTTGTGCCCCAACCCTATCCTCCTCTCGGCTTTCAGTCCCAATTCTATCAGTATCCCTTTGAGACCGTACCTCCAGTCTACCACAATCCCGTGGACTTTGCTGGTCGGATCCAACCCAGTAAGTATCTTCTTGCTCCCTTCGTCCTGATCGGTCGACCAGCTGTACCATCGCCATTAGAACTGTTTAAACCTCACTGATAACAATCTCACTACAGCAAACGTCTTCCAACCCAGTATTCCTTCACCCAACGCGACCAACATGGGTTGGCCATTTGATCTGGGTGGGATCCCCAATTATGGGGATTTCGAGCGTTTTGAGAACTTCTCGATCGAGGAGCTCCTCCAGCCGTCTTCCATTCCATTTGGTAGCATCGCCGAGATGCAATCAGCTTCTCGTAATGGTGTTTTGATGATTTCTAACGTGAGTTCCCTTTTCACCATATCCTTCCTGCACTGATGCTTTATTCAATATTCCGTTACTAACGATTAGTTACGATACTCAGATCCCGTACACTGTGACTCGCCAGGAGGTGGCCTCGTTCCTTGGACGCAGTGCTAACCTGCTCCCATCCTCTCAAGGATGTCCAATTCATATCATCATGGAACGGTCCACTGGCAAGACCATGGACTGCTATGTTGAATTCCCAACAAAGAAGGATGCTGAAGATACTGTTGGCCGAATCAACCGTGCCTACGACGCTGGCAGCGCCCCGCGTATGGGCAGCCGCCATGTTGACATAGAACTCAGCACCCCAGCCAAGCTTCTCAAGGCTGCCTTTCCCCGGGCGAAGTGCATCTCGTGGGAGGGTGGACAGCCTGTCCAGCTTGTCAACAAAGACAGTTGGTCTACCGGTTTTGATGGCTTCCTCACTGACGAGGAGCTCTTCTGTCTGACCCGTCATGCCGAACAACCTCACCGTGTACGTCTGACTTCGCTCTTTATTCTTTACTTTTCATGTCGCTGATATTCTGACACGTCGCAGAGTGCATTTGCTAGCAAGGTTCCTCAACGCTGTTATGAATCATTCATCACCACTCTCTGGAAAGTAAGTCATTCATTGTCCATACATCTACATTTGCTCTTCCATGTTATACTTATGTTCTTTGTCCTATGTTGTAGTTCCCGTGGCACGCTACCCACCTTTATACTGTGCATCACCGGAATGCTCTTTTCAAGACTCTTGTTGCTCTGATCAAGACTCTGGTGGAGCGTATGCAGAAGGTAAACACAGTGGGCTTGGACATCCGCCTTCTGAACGAGTTGGTTCATGCAGGGATCTGTTGTCCTGCTTTCAATCCTCGCATGAAATACTGTTTCGCTTGGTATTCAAAGGATCAGAGAGGAATTGAGTCATTGGACCATGACTGGTGCCTTTACTTCCCATTTGATACTCTTACCTATGTTCCCGGACAGAGTTCTGCCGCCATTCAGGTAGGAGATACAATTGAGATTTTGTCTTCTTTTGAAAGATTGCTAATTCATTTTCCAATCGGTATAGTTCTATGCCTATGTCATGTCCAACGGTTCTGTTCTGCGCACCGAGAATGACGGTCTGCCGAACAAACATACTCATCCTGAGATCGAGAGAATCTTTGGAAGGTTCTGGTTTGAGTGGGAGGACGACGTTGCCCGTAACATGGTCTTCAAGGATGCGATTATCTATGAAGCCAGTGTACTTCGGAAGTTCATCATCACTGGATTTCAACAACTCCACAGAAGAAAATCCAGCGTCTCAACCATCGGCACTGCTCCTGGCTCGTCGCCAACCCACAGTCTTGCTTCAGTTGACAGCCAGCGAACGATTTCGCAATCCCACACTGGCTCGGTAAATCCCAGCCCTGCTCCTCAGGAAAGCTCGACTGCTTCAGCTGCCAGCAACCGCCTCCGTGAGCACGGTAACAATTGGAATGTCCCCGGTAACTCCCGTGATATCTCTCAGCGACTTGATGCTGACCAATATCTGCTGGACACCCCCACCCATCGGCCTCGCGCATCGATCCCTCCATACATTCCGCCGCACCAACGATCCGACTCAGCCAAGCCGCGCAAGCAGTCGGTTACCTGGCGTATGCCTCAAACTCAAGAGGCACCTGCTGTTGACTCAACTCAGGGACAGGCTGAGATCCGGCCTGTTTACCGTGCTCCCCATACAACTGCGCAGAATGTTCGGTCGTCCTCTGATCCTTTCGGACCAGTCCCTTCGATCGCTCCCAGTAGCCATCGCTCTCGCTCCGACGCCGCCCGCCTGTCGAACCTCGATCGCCGGGTGTTTGATGAGCTCCGAGCTGCTGGCTGCGGTACCCGATCCGCAAAGAAGTAATCGGAAGTGGTGGACACCCTGGACCAGTGTCTCGCGTGAGGAGTACTGGTCCATCACACCGGTAACTGTCCTGTTGTTCTCTCTGGTCTTTTCTTCTCGGTCTTTCCCTTCCCGGTTTTTTCTGCGTGGATGTATGGAGACGTCCACCGGCTACACGCAACAAACCCTTGTCTCTTCTGTCTGTGTGCTTTTTTCCTTTGCTTTTTCTTCCAGCGAGATCGACCATTCATGGTTGCTGCCTTCGGGATGTGCTTGGCCGGTTTGCGAGATCTCCCTGTGACCGAAACTCATCTGAGTTTCATTTTTCCCTAGCTCTGATGTCACTTCTCAGTTAGTTGACTAGCTAGCTTTAGTTTGCGTTGAATTTTTGCGCTTGCTTTTACTTCTTGCGTTCTTGTTCTTTTTGCATCGGGTAGTTTTTCTCTAAGCGGGCGTTGTTTTGCTTGTTTGTAGGCTATGTAGGCTATGCGGCAACATGCATATAGTAGGACACCAATGTAAGGCTGGTCAAGATTAGGTAGCAGCACACTAAGGCCAGGTTGCCCAGGGCAATCTAACAACATCACCTCTTTATTTCCCGGGTGACTGCCGAAGTAGGCCAGTACTCTACTAGTTCTGACTTCCTACTCGCTCTCTGCTTTGGTTACATCAATGTCTTCATCTTGACTTATTCTGCTTCTGATTTACCTTCTGTCTCTTGATGTTGATCTTGGGGCTATGGAATTATCAGACAATAATCTCTGACCACTCAGTAACGTCGGTCCTAACGACACACGTACCAACACTTGCCGGCCAATCTCGAAACATACATTCGTGACTAAATTGTGGGGGGGCAGATCTCAGATGTTACCAACTGAACTCTCATTATCGACAGCCAACCATCGGCCCTTGGAAGAGACCAACGAGCGCGAGCTACAGTACAATTGGAGAGACAGAGGGAGTATGACTGCCACTCAGCTAAGCGCTTTGATCGGTACCAGCTGAGTTGTTGGGGAGGTTATATTGGATCATTAGGGATAGGGAGACACGGCTAACGCTTCACGTTGCCAGATATAACAGCCTCCTTCAAGGTGACGAGAGATACACCGAGATGCTCATGGTAGGAGCGTGTCATATCGAGTGCATGATCCTCATCTATTTCGGGCAACTTACGATCGCTATATACGTACCATACAAAGACGCTTATTCTCCGATCTTGCATAACCATATTCATGGGTTTAGGACCTGGAGAAAGGAAGGAGAGACATCATGCAAATGGTTTGGGGGCTCTTGGCGAAGTCAATGACCTTCTGCGACCCCGTAAAGACAGCAATATGTTGAGCCGAAGTACTAGTACTAGTGGCCAGCCTAAAACGACCACCGATGTGCATGTCTCATCCCCGATCGGTTCCTTCAGCTACAGATCACGATCGGAATGTATACTCATTGTTTGGATCAGACAGCGGATTCCAACAAATTTGGCTTTCTTTACATCTTCAAATAAAATTTCGCTCAAAATACAAAAGATACATACGTCCATCTCGAGGGGAAAAAGCGGGAAAAAAACCGTAATGGCGCCAGAACTAAAAGCGGAGCCGTATATTACAGCCGGTTTTCAAGGCATGCGGGCCCTTTTGGTTTTAATTCGATGCATCACTTTTGTCTTCATCTACAGTAATTTTGGCTTCTTTTCTGCTTTTCTTGATTCCCAAGTTGGCAAGTACAAAATCGGAATTTTCTAACTCAACCTATAGAAAAAGAAGGGGGGAGAAAGACTCTGCCAAGTTCGATCGTTTTCATTCAATTCATCTATCTAAGTATGCCTCGACGGTCGTCTCGATCTGATCCTGCGTCGCCTGAAGCGCCTATGGCGTCAAAGCGACGCGCTTCAGCCAGACTGTCCGCCGCCGAACCGGGGGTCAAGCGGGTCAAGTCAAACGCCGACCTGTCCCTCCGTCAGGCAAAGTCCACGACCAGCAAGAGCAAGTACTTCGAGCCGGAAGACTCCGATGAGCCCGACTCTGAGTCCGACGCCTCTGCGGGGGGATCTTCTGGCTCTTTGTACGAGGAAGCAAAGGAGGAATCCCCCGCCGAGGATGCGGAGCCGGAAGAACTTTCCGACACCGACAAGCATGCGAAGAAAAACCCCAGCGCGAGGGGAAAGCAGCGACACAGCACCGGCAGCGGACACGACCTTATGAAGGGCCAGGAGCTCTGGCGCGAGGGCGTTAGAGCGGGCCTAGAGCCAGGGCAAGAAGTTATCATCGCGAAGCCGAAGGCCCGGGACGCGGGAAAGACCCCGTACCGGGATGAGACGCTGCATCCCAATACAAGGCTGTTTTTGATCGATCTAGCTACCAACAATGACCGCCAATGGCTAAAAGGTTAGAAGCGCACGTACACCCCAGTTATCGAGTCGCTGGCTGACTTGCGCAGCGCATGATCCGGATTACCGAGCGGCAAAGAAGGACTTCGAGACATTCGTTGATTCCCTCACGCCGAAGATTGCGGAGGTGGACGCTACCATTCCGGAACTTCCTGTGAAGGACCTGGTAGGCTTGCGGATACTCCTGTCTTTTATTTGTGACTGGTGCTCATAACGCATTGCCCCAGGTATTCCGCGTCCACAGGGATATTCGCTTCAGCAAGAATCCACTTCCATACAAGGTATGCTATCTTCCTCCCCGAGTTGTGTCGATCTCCCTGTCGCACATATGCGTATGTGGCGGGTATGCGTATGGTACTGTGGGCTGTTAGTGGTGCTTGTGCTGATTCAAAATGGACAGACCCATTTCTCTGCTGCCTGGTAAGTGTTAATGTTCGATGACTTTTTTCTTTTGGAGACAAGTCACTTAATATGGTGCAGGTCTCGGACTGGTAAGAAGGGCCCGTACGCAGCATACTATGTCCACTTCCAGCCAGGTTCTTGTTTTGTTGGTAGGTTGTCCCCCGGCTGTTGCCATCACTATCCTGCCTTTCCTTTTGTGATTTCATCCATTGCGGCTGATACCAAGCTGTGTGTAGGCTGCGGGCTGTGGCATCCCGAGCCAGAGCCACTTGCACTGCTGCGAGAGGACATCGACGAGAACTCGGCTGGCTTGAAGGAGGTACTCCGGGCGCCGGAGATGCGTCGTGAGTTTCTGAAGGGAGTGTCCGACGATGCCGATGCGGTTGTGGATGCTTTTACGCATCACAATAAGGAGTCTGCTCTCAAGACGAAACCCAAGGTATGAACTTTCTGTTTTCTATTCCTCCTAAACCCAATGTGAAGTATGTTGCCCCTTGAGACAGACTTTACTCCTTCCCGTCATCACCTTGTGTCTTGGGTGCATTGTCAGCTGCTCTTTTATTATTTATGGGCTGGGACGCGAAGGTCTTCAAGGCAGGGGGTAAAAGGTTCGCTTTCGAGGTTGCGTCCATCGTCCGACCGGATTGGTCTTGGAAACGGAATTACTCCCATTTTCATCGACCAGTACTATCCTCTGAGATCATGGAGACCAGATCCTTCTGGTAGACCAAGAGATGCCTTGGTCGGGCTGATAGGCGCGACCACGGCTTCTCACCCAGAGAGGAAAGAAACCGGCACATGACGGCTCGAGAGAATCCAAGAGATCCATGTATCCCAAGTGCTTCATGTCAAAATATCGAAAGCGATGTGAATGACACGCGCACGGGGGCTACGGGAAAGGCCAACACGCGTTTTAGGCCAATTTTCGCTCCCGGGACGCAACCATGGAACCCAGGAAAGCAATTTGGCAGTCTGATCTCAAAGGGGGAATCGCACTTCCTAGAAGGGGATTTATTCCCACGCCGTCGAGTTTGGTTCCATGGTTCACACTTGCGCCAGGCTCCACGTCTGATCCAAGGGATTTCCTGACCGCTGACACACCTTCTAGGGTTACGAGGCGGACAACAAGAACATCAAATTACTTCGACTACGCAGTTTCACCATTGGAAAGCCCATTGCGGATGATGAACTCACTAGAGACGATGCACAAGAGAAGATTGCTGCTTTGGTTAGGGTCATGGAGCCTTTCGTAAGCCCTTTTCCAATCTATCGATTCCCGATTTCCCTTTCCCGCCGGTTTTGCCCCCTCTTGACTAGTCTATTTTCCATTCTGAGCTAGCCGCTTTGGCGGTGTTAGCCGTCCCTTTTACCCACCCAACACAGCGCAGGTGTTACTATCGTTGTTTTTCCCCCCTTCCCGCTTTGACAGGATTGGAAGGGCGTGCAGACAATAACCTTTATGTTGTATACTCTGTATTGCTGACCGCTGACCGCTGACCTCTGACCGCTTCTCGAACAGGTGACGTATCTCAACAGTGTAGTGATGCCCGATCAGTGACATGATTGGGAAAATCACACGCGCCTATTTGGCATTGGACGGGACCTCGGGAGGTGGAGAGATCAATCTGTTCTGTTTTGCCTTACTGTTTACTTCTGGGCGTGCTCATGTGGTACGAGAGTTGTGGTATGAAGTTGTTCGTATTTGTTACCTGTCGAATTTCTCCATTTTATTTTTCTCATTCAACATATGCCTTAGCTCGGGTCTTTTGTCTCTCACAAGTCCTCGACTTGAAACCGGGATCTCATCCCCACCTTGACGCCTCCTGCACATGGCTTCTTTCGTCAGTCCCCGCCTCGTTTCCCGGATTGCTACTGCAGCCCTCGTACTGGCGCGGGGCCAAATAACGTACCTAACACTCGCTCTGCAGTCATATCACCTCTAGTTGCTGCACGCTGCACACTGCGTAGGACGGACTACAGCAGGCGGGCAACGCTCCAAATTGAGACATTACTACTGCCTTTCCCCTCAACATGACACATATACAGTTCTAGGCACTTCGACGCAATCTTGCTACCCGTGTCAGCACCCAATGGCTACGAAGCCCCTCGCGTGCAATCTGCAATTTAACCTTTTTACAATCTCCCACTCCTCCCCAGCCAAATCCCGAATGTACAACATCGTTGTGCAAACAAAAGAACACAGAAATTTCAGAATTAAGTGAAGCACTCAGTTGACGCGCATGATATCGCCACCGCAAGCGCCCGCGTTCGGCCCGTTGTCGGGCATGCCCGCTAGGCTAAACTTGGGCTTGCAGGCAATGTGGATTGCCCGGGTAGTTTTACTCCGCCGCCCCAAATTCTGGGATTGAAATGAGCACCTTCCTTCTCTGGAATGGACTCCATTTATTTGACCGGGTGGTATCATTTTGTTTCTTCATAGTGCATCCTGGATGTATTTTGTATGCATTGTGGAGTTTTACATATGCACATATGTAGTTCTTGGTCGATGCTGTTAATTTAGGGCACGGTCCACGGCTATCAGTCCAGCATGTCTTGGTGGTCAGATATCAACTCGATACTCGGCTGTCCGCGGCGCAGATAATTGAGCAGCTGCATCCAAAGCTGTATTCTGTCTGTCAGTATATTGTCATGGATTTTCACGGATCATTTCAAGATTGATATCCTCACTAGTGTCAAGAACTGGTCCCCGGAGACCCCGGTCATGGTGTTCCAAAGTCGCTTGCAAATCGAAAACAGTTCGAAAAATCGATATGAAACACGCAATTGTATGCTCAGAGGATAAGTTTATATAGTTATATGGTTTTGGTAAAGACTTGGGACACAAGGCTCCTAATTGGTGGCCTTAAGCCTGCACAAAGAATAAAACGGTTATACTACAACATTAAGTATTGCGAAATATGGAACGTTACTTTGACTTTCCAACGTATATCTCTAGTGCTATGAGGTCGCGGTTCACGGCCACCGTAGGTCTATAATCCATCGTCAGCATCAATGCTATTGGATGTACCCCCCAAATCGAACTCTTACTCTCGAATTATATCAAATATCCTATCACTCAAGGGCTCACAAGATACGTAGGTATACACTTGATGTAAACGTTTAGGGTAGGAATAATCACATGTCACTTTTGTCTTGTTTGTTCAGTCATGGTGCATCGACGAGCATGATGTTTGTTGACTTCGAACAGCCAATCAACTTAAACCCAGGGATCAAGGTAGACGCCGGGCGTGCGGGGATCGACCTTGAAACCCGTGAGAGACTCTCCGTCGATTTTATGAGGCACCTGCAGTTGAGTTAGGTTGGTGATACCGTGCCCTAGCTGCATCTGTATGCAAATCACATACCATCCAATCTAGCCGAAAAACACTTAGGCAGTTTCAAATGCGAAAAGTCAAAAGCAAGCCGAAAGAAGCAAAAGGTACTCGAAAAAGCAAAAAAGGAATCGGTTAAGCCGCATATTAATTAATTAAATGTCAAAGTCACTAGCTCCACGCACGATCCCGAGAAATCACTTGGCAAACAGCATCCAGAAAAAGCAAGGTGAGATTGACTCGCTTTGTCTCCCGAATGGCGCCCGAATAGAGTTGGGAGGTCTAGCGTGCAGCATGGCGGTCCTAGTCTTAGTCTCACCTGTGCGACTGACGAGGTATGGACAAAATGGTGGGAGACACCAATCAGATACGAACATTACGCGGATCAGGAAATAATAATAATAATAATAAGAAACTTGCCCAAGCCCGAGAGAGAAAGAACAAAAGAGCAAAGAAAGATCAATGGCCCGGCTAATGATGACTCGCCGATCTCGCATATGCTTTTCCCAGGATCAGGTAGTCATCAGGCATCTCTCATCACACGACCTGCACGTTCGAGTCTGTTGTACACCGACTCTGAAAGCACTGCCTCGTTCCGGCACAGTGCAGGGAAAACTCGCCACGTCAGATCCCCAGCACAGACCTTGGCCTCCCTATTATTTTTCATTACTATATTGGTGCATATTGTGTTCCCGTGACTGTAACGACATGCGGGCTGCGCCTATTAGTGCCCGACCCGTCTCCATCCTTGCTGATAGACGCGCTCCCGTGTGGGTAAGGGAGGGGTTCCTATGGCTAATAGAAACCTTGCAATTGGAATGAAAACTTAAGGAACCTTTTTTTTAAAAAAATAAATTAGAAAATAAACCACTAAATGGGAAGTTGAAAAGGTTGAAACTAGAAAAGGTACAAAATATTCATATATTTAAAATAATAAAAAGTTTACGATGGAACGTCGCAGCCTGCAAAAAGGCCCGGTCGGAATGGGTCCCCTAGCGTTGGGCTTTCAGTTTCGACAAGCTACGCTCAGTCCCTGTCGGATGAGCTAGTTTTGAGAACAGCTAGCGCGTCCCCTGGACAAACAGCATCGAGTGGCCAGCATCTTTGGATCGGGTGGACCTTTGAGAGTCTCTGAGAGTACGCTAGAGTAGAGGGACAAAGCTGAACAGGCCACGCCTGAGAGTGGGGAACGGAAAGACGCGGACGGCAATGCAGTCGATTGGGTTCAAAAAACGTGGCCTCAAAAGGATTGTCTTATATTGGTACCCCATTTTACGCCGTTTTACTCCGTATTACCCACAGTGTACTATATTTATGTATGAAACCGGAAATCTCAACGGGACACTAGATACACGTGCCTATTTTTAGTATGTACATTATTCCAATAATCATATTATGTATATGTAGGTATATAATGCAAATATTAGATAACGCCAACGATGATAGACTAGAAGATATATGTGTTCTCGAGACGTAGACAAATGGTGTACTGTAACAACCGAGGTATTTTTGCCAGATGGCACACATGCATAGATCGGCGGGAAGGCCGGAGCGGCCCGTGGGACAAGTACCCCGAAACTTGATTGATTAATCCTGCGCAATTGTACTCGTATTATTACAATCTACTATATATTATTCAATCCATGGTTCCGAGGGTGAGGGTGGGCTTTTTGTTTTTTCTTCTTTTTTCCTCCGTCGCTATGACCATCTACTATTACTCATATCATATCTCAGAAACCCACATTCCCGGTATATTGCAAATGACTTGGGCTGAAAACTTCACCAGGGATTGGCGGTGACGGGGGGGCGTACGCTAAATAGCCCCCGTACAACGTGGTTGTGGCTCTTGGACAAGGAACCCGCCCTGTCAGCGCAGCGCTAATGCAGGTTACCTTGGCTCATTATGGGCTTTCCGGAACCAGTGCTACAGCCCTGGGAACTTAGGGCACTCCACCACCTTCGTTCTCTCCCTCTTTCCCTCCAAAGCCTGGTTCTTTTCAGTCATAGAAATTAAGGGATCCGCTCTCGCCACACTTTTTTCTCCCACAGACTTCGCGCTATACTTCCATATCCAACTTTTGTCTTCCTATGGATGCTCCATTCGTGTTGAAGAGTGGCGAGTGGTCCAGCTGAACCCCACTCCCTCAGCTGAAGTCTGATCGCCACGCTTTCACCGCTTGAATTTTTTTTTCTTTCATAGTACCTACATGCAGTAGTTCCATGTACTTTGATGAACTAGGTAGTCCTGGTTAAGGCAAGAAAAATCACAATAAGGTATACAATAATGTCATTAAATGGTTGGAATAAAAAATTAAATAAATCAAACCAACCTCGATGCGCATGGGAATGTGTCGCCCCGACCCGAGCCCATCGCCATGGAAAATGATCCTGGTTCCGCGGGGCCGGTTGCGGTTGTGCGACTACGGTCCGAGGCGGTCGTTCGTCCATGGACGGCATACGCAACAAGGGTCACTCGGAGGAATTGACGTGCATGGATTGATCCATGCAAGTGAGAGGTCACCTGCCACATTATTGATGATGTCAAGTTTGAGACTTGAAATCATCGTTCTGATCATATAGAACTCTTTCAATTATTCTGTAGATATATTGTTCGATAACACCGTAGAGTGGCGAAACACGTGGAAAGTTACTCTCGGGCGCTACTGCTAGCTGAAAGAAAAAAAGAAGAATCAGAAAAGAAAAGAAATCAGAAAATAAGAGCGGTCGCCGTTCTCGGCTTCGTAGCAACGGGAAATCTGGTACCCTAAATTGCATTCCATGGTTCAAAGACTGGTCTCCCATGTTTCACTTGACGAAATGAGAGGGTAAGGTAAGGTCACCGTACTCGATGTATCCATGCAAGTATTCGACATGGACACACAAAACTGTTACATACAAGGCGTCCAGGGGCGTATAGATACACTGTACAGTAATCCCCTCTCCATGTCTATGGGTCACTGGCGCCGCTTTAGCCCGCGCTGCCCGGGCTCCACCCCGTTCTCTAAAAATTCCCCTGTGCTTTTCCAATCAAATAATTCGTTTCCTTTTATTTCCTTTATTCTCTGCCCATTCCGATCTGAGCTTCTTTTTCTTCTTCTCTTCTCTGC